TTAGTCCAAATCCTGTTTTGGGATGCTACAGGGCATGCAACTCATTTCCAAGTTTTGGTGTGTGGACTGGTGTTGCACCAGAAGAAAGCCCTTTGGCAGGTACACTCCTGGTGGTCTGGCATCAGTTTACACAAACTGCTTCCACAGTATGAAGTTCAGAAAGAGCACACGGCCATGGCACCTACTCTGCACCAGGCTCTTCCTGGCTATGGACCACAGATCACTAGGAGAAAAGCTTCTATCCAAAGGATGTCCACTAAAGGTAAGATTTCTGAATTATACTCACCTCCCTTTTATTTAGCACAAAATTACAGAAGCCAGACTCTATGACTTTCCTCTAACTTGTTAACATCTCTCTAAAGGTCTTCTGTTTTATGACACTTTTCTTTCTAAACTTCTCCCTTTTCTAAACACCCCTTTCTTGTACGAGCAAATGCTGATATTACAGCTAATAGCCAAATGCATACTCCTGGTTTCTATGTAAACTTTTCTGTTTCTCCTCTGGACTTCATGAGCTCAGAAGTTACCTGATTCAATATACAGTCACTGAGGGCCTACTCTATACTAGCCTCACTCTAGATGATGGGGGTACGAAAGTAAACATAGCAAAGTCCCTGTCCTCAAGTGGCCTACATTCTACTGTAGGTGAAAAAGAAGCAAACCCCACACTAATGGAACAGGGAGTGGCAGAGATACATTTCACACAGATTTTTCATAGGCTGAGGGGAGAGAGAAGGGACCATGTTGTTTTTCCAAAGTGGAGGTGACCCATGTTTTAGGACGGTGCTTGACAGCAAATTTTTTCAAAGAAAGCATCAATGACAAATTTCTTTTAGAGGGAATTTGGTTATAAAATTTAAGATTCTTTTCCCAAGGGAAAAACATGATAAACACATAGGAGGTAAAAGTTTTGGTGATGACAAGTGAGATTAGTCATCACCATGCCTTCGGTATCTTTTCCTGTTAGTTATCAGTAACGTTTTCCAGGCCACAGAAATGACGGACCTTAGAGTCACAACTTCCAAGTCTTTTTTTTTTTTTTTGGGGGGGGGGACTCTTACCAGTAAAAGGAGGGATTTGCACATAATGATATCAATAATAATAGCAGCTAACATTTATTTCCCACAGTTGGATCCAAGTAAGTATTGACAACAAAAACAACAGCACAGAACACTTGCTGGTCAGACACTTCCCAAAGCATCTTACCTATTAATTCATTAAACTTACTGACCACCTACGAAGTAGGACACTATTAAATACATTCATTTTTATGAAGAAATTGAGGTTCAGAGATTGTTCCATTCCCAAGGCCACAGAGTGGGTGAAGGAGTCAAGGCTGTGTAGTGTGGTTCCAGACTTCATGCCTCTCATATCTCATCTGCTCTCAAACAACCTCCATTTTAATGGCTTCAAATAGAGAGGTTAAACCCTGTCCCAAATCACAAGCTAATAAGTGTTGTGCCAGGATTAGAACATAGGCATTCTGCTTTCACATCCAGACTCTTAACTATTACACTCTATCATGCTTTATGAAATGACCCAAACCTCTTTCAGCTCTAAACTTTAATGATTCTCTTCCCATCCCAGTACCTATTACATCTAGGAAGTATACATGATGTTTTCTCAGAAATCTGAAATCTTGTTAAAATCTCTTCTCTGTAGAATTAGCAAGGAAACAAGTGAAGGAGACTAGATAGCAAGTCAAGATTTCCATGACACATTAGGGGTCACACATGCATTTCTTTAGGTAAAGCCCTTATGACATAATGATGTTTATAGCACATTTTAGAAAATTTTGAAATACCATATTATAGAAAGTCCAGCTATGGTCAACTAACTGTACTGCACTGCACTGTGCTAAACCAATGGCAATTAATATTTTAATGTAGCAATTGGAAAAAACTAAATCAGTATCATTTGAATTCTTGTGGCAGTTATTCTGGGAGAAGAGAAAGGCAAAGGGACACATCAGGAACATATGTGTGTTCCTCTGCGATGGTGTGTTCACTTTTCAGTCTCCTGGTGGAATTACTTACTTATTTGGTCATGTTTCCTAGAACACTAACATCTATCTTCTGATTTGCTACCAAAAAGGTGTGCAACCAAAATACAATCCTGTTCATGTGTGCAGGGGAGCTACTTCCAGCTAAAGCATGCCAAGAAGCTCCCACAGAGACAAAGCAGGTTCATTTAGGAAGAGGCTGCTGAACTGCATTCAACTACTGCATGGCCCCCACATCCTTCATGATGACAAACCACTATCCTTGCGGGGTGTGGATAAGAAGAATCAGCATACTGATTTTCTCAGTTTTAGTTTTGTCTGGCAGGCAATGTTCTAACCCAGAGAGCTTTTTGGTTGGTATCGTGAGGTTTACCTTATTTCACAATCAGGATACAGTCATTTGGAAAGCTTCCCATCTTCACGGTAGATGGCCCTTTCCACAACTTACCTCATCAGCCTTCTTGGCAGTGTTTGCCAGTGAGAGGTCTACCCATGTCCTCACCGTTTTAAGAAGTTTAACACCAAGACACAGACTTTTCAGGGAGAACTGACTCCGAAAGAGTGAGATCACTAATAAGCATGGGCAGTGAATCCAGGGAGCGCAAGGCCACCAATATGTGTGAACTTATTAATCATAATTATTATTTTTTCGAAGAAAAGGATTTCCTTAGTCAAACCTCCAGGGCATCAGATCAAAGGGAGATACTGCCACAGCTGGACTATACTTTCCAGCCAATTGGCCTGGAAAGAAGAATCTAGACAGTGTCCTGGCAACTGTTTAACACAGCAGCAATCCATTAAAGAGAGGAAAAGAATTCCTCAGAATGACTTTTAAAAAAGTTTTCTTTTGCTTTACATTTCCTTATTTTTAACAACATTTTGAGAGTAATGTCAATGCTCTAGGGGCATGTCCCAGGTAGACACAGTATACGAATTACCAACCCTGAGAATTCAGAGAATTCTATAGCTGGGAAGAAATAAATAGAGGCTTTTGCTCAACGTGTAGGTTTGTTTGTTTTTTTTTTTTTAAAAAAACACAGATTTATAATTAATTATCATGAAAAGTATATCCCAAACCTACTGGCAGAGTGTTTGATTTTCTATCTCCAATTTGATATTAGTCATTATAAGACTTACCAGGACACGGTAAAATCAAGTCAGGTTAATTTATTAATAAAAATGTAACAGGATAAATTTATTTATATGCCCTGGAAGTTCTCCCAAAAACTATACTGTAAAAGGAAATTACAAAAGTGACTATTAACACACAACAAGAACAAAAAGCCACAAAATCCAAACTCCACTATGTCAGAAGCAAAGCAATACACACAAGATCATGTGAAAATGAGAAAAAAGAAAGCACACCAAATGATTCATGGATTACACAGAAACAATATGTGAGAATGACTGTGAAAAAAAAAAAAAAAGCAAACAAACATTTCTATAGTTAAGGAAAGCTGTTTCTCACCGTTCTGAACAAAATGGCTGAACTAAGAGCATCTGATTGGCTATGCCCATATACCCTCCTCCTCATCCTATGGGGAGAGATGACAAAGAGAACAGTTCCCCAGAGCAGCATGGGAATGAAAAAGAGTTGGTTAGTATTTAAAACAAAGACATAAGCATAATGTAGTAGAAGAAAATGGTCTCTAATTTCTTGCCTCTTTTTATCAGATTCTAATTACCTAAACTACCAAAATGAGTAATAAGTTTGTCATCACAAATCCACTCTTCCTCTTTTTCAAGATGTGATCCTGAACACGTTGATGGGTTCTAGGCAAGATGACCAAATTGGAAGCTTATATTTTTTGCCTTTCATCCACCTTTCTCCATTTCTGTTCGCCTCCTTCTACTCCTAGGTATCCACTTCCTCCAACACATTATTAAAACCTGTTTCAAGGAAAAGATCTAGTACTCATGTTATCTATGCTGGCATAAATTTAATTCTAGGAAGCAGGAAGCAGGCAAAGAAAGCAAGAGGATCTCTTGGCTGGGAGAGACCGCTGACATCAGGCAGACAGCTCTCCATTTTGCCAACATTAAAGACTGGTATTCTTTTCTCCTCCTTAAATACAAGGTTTGCCTTAACTGACTTAGTAACTATTATCAAACTATGACTATATGGGAATCTTAGGAAAAAGAGCAATTTGGATATCACTGCTACTTTAATCTGCACTATTTCTTCTCCTTAGACAATGCCACAGCTATCATTTAGTGGAGATATTTAGTGGGGGAGTTTCCTTTGACTCTAGTCATATGGATGTAATTACTTAACTATTATTTTTTTCCCTCGACTATATATTTTAAGACTGAGTGTGATGGAGATGTTGAAATCTGATTTTTGGCAATGGGATATGAGGTAATCTGTTCACCACTCTTCCCCATCTATCATTTTCAAGCTCTTGGGAGCATTTCCTTTTCCCAAAAAACTTGAGTTGAATATGGTTCCCTTCAGACTCATCAATACCTCTTTTGCATTGATGAGAAGTTGGAGGCAACAATTTTCCTTGAAAATGACATATACTGGAGGGATTACCAAGGAAATGGGAGCGAAAAAACTATGTTTTGATCTTCAGGTTTAATAGGTAATGTGCAGAGATTTAAAAAGTTGTGATGAAACAACAGTTACCTCTATACTGAGTTGTGGCTTGCTGAGCTCACAAAGAGACTTATTTTTCAAATAAGGTACTGTTTCTTTAATAAGAAAATCAGAGTGATTACAAATTAATATGTATCACAGAGAAGATTTTCTTTTTTAAACTCAATTGAGGATTTCTTATCCTCAAATCTTTTAAATATTCACTCTTAAAATATCTAGAATCATCTACCACCTTCCTTATAGAAATTCAATCTGAGTTTAAAAAAGAGTGAAGGGGTTTTCAGGAACTGATTACTTTTCTTTTTCTAACTTATACCCCAGAATCTATAACATGTTAGTACAAAATACATCAAAATAACAGCATACTGATTTTTATAAAACATTCGGGAGCAATCTTACCTGATCTGGGGAGGGCTTATGGTTGGTTTGATTGGAATGGGAGGATTTGAAATGGTCATCCTCATAGTTGTCGGCCATTAGCTTCATTCGATTTTGTGTCTAAAAGGAAATGATTCATAAGGTTAAATTTAGATAAAATTTCTATGACACACTGTAAAGTAACACATGCATTAAGAACATCATAAGAAAGGATAAAATCAATCCTGTCTGAAGTAAAACGAACATGGGATTTATGAGGATATTGGGGGAAAAAAGTTCAGGCTGAACTACAAACCAGGAAGAATGACCCCTCCCCAGGAACTAATTCAGTTAGCATCTTGATCTTAGACCTTCCTAGCCCCCAGAATTGTGAAAAAACAAATTTCTGTTGTTTAGGGCACCCAGTCTATGATGTCTTGTCATTGCAGCCTGGGCAGACTAAGAGAGGTACCAACTGACACAGGAATTAAGTAGGGTGTGCAGAGGGGTAAGCTCCTCAAATTAAGCACTTCATGTAGCATTTATTTTTTTCTTTAAATAAAGACTGGGGTGGCAGATAAAGGGCAGGAGGATAGATAGGGCAGGGGCAAGATGAGGTCAGGCATGCTGACATACTGTAGCAGTCCCCGAACTGGCCAGGAGCTAACCCCAGTCAGTCCAAGGTGCACACACATCACCGTGCATGTTCTCTGCTTTCCCATGTCCTTGCAGTGACTGGCCCCCAGGTGTTGGTGATTCTGGTAGCAAGGACTACAAGAACACAGAGGCACCAATGGACTGTCACTGTCTAGTTTGACAACAAGGAGCTATGAAGCCCCTAAACCCAGAGGAGTGGATCCTGGAGCAGTTCACTCATCTCTCCAACTGTCAGGATGAAGAAATCTGAGAGCTGGAGATAGATGTGGATGAGCTCCTCAAAAGTGAGTGAGCATATCCCACAGCCAGAGACAAGGAGCTGCTAGTTGACTGTTCTAAGCCCACTGAGGCCACTATCTCTGGCATGATGGACAAGAACAGGGTGTGCAAATGCTGAGGACACCCAGAAGAGTTAAGGGTCCTTGACCCAGGTGAGGTGATTCCCATAGGACCTCACAGTTAACAGCAGCACTGGGGAGTCCCATGGCTAGATCTGGGGCCATGAGCAGGGTTCCCTGTGCCACTGGCCCAGGTGGCCTCTTCCCTGCCCCTCAGCTTTTCATTTTGAGATTAAAAAAAAAAAATAGCTATTAAACTCATGGGACTTAAAAAATAAAATAAAAAATGAATTAAATGATACAAAGAATAGGACTCTGCAATTATTTTTTCACTTTATGATATAAACAGGACCCATCTTTCTATACCACCACAAGAACTACTCAACATTTTAAACAACTATTTACATTTTTTGGATGCTACATAACATAGAGACCACAAACGCTTGGGTAAAAGGTCTTTGTAAATTAAGTTATTATATACCTAGGGAGTACAAAGGAATCAACAAAAGACTACTATAATTTACAATATAAAAAATTCAATAAGGTGGTCAGACAGATACTATATAAATAAAATTCAATAGTTTTCCCACAATTCATTAATAAACAATTCAAAAAACAAATTAAAGGTTCTGAAATTGTTTTTTTCCAACAATGGCTAAGGAGAGAATCACTGTCCCATTGTCTTTTCTCTGTTAATCAAAAAGGAAACTGACTTGGTGATTCTGTATGATTAATTTAAGCCCTGAATCAATCAATCAGTCGATCAATATCTCTCTCTCAAACACACACACACACACAGACACACACACACAGACACACACACAGAGAGTAAACATTTAAGTGAATCTACCTTGCAGAGTAAGTGATTTAGAAAATGCAGGATACACTATGGATCAAAATTAAAAAGCAAAATAAGCAGCACTAGTACAAGATTGTTAAAACATTACATTTTAAAAGCCTTAAAAATAATAAAACTTGGAGCCTCCCTGGTGGTGCAGGGGTTGAGACGGGGCCTATGGAGCTGTCGGTAGTCTCCACAGCCTCTGCAGCATGAGTTTGATTCCCCGGCCAGCCAGGGAGCTGCCTGTTCTAGGAATAGCTAAACAGGCAGAGGGGTGATCTTCAAAAATTCTAAGCACTTTAAATGCACACACACGCATATATAAACACATGGGGGGAAAATGCAAGATAACAAGAATAAAAATACTTCGAGTTATGGGGGAATTTTATTTTTACTTCTTATAAAATCATGATCCGTGTGTGGGAAAGGAAAGAATGGCACTGACTCAAAATACAAGCTAACTATAAACTGTACACTCATGTGCATGTACACTGAAGTCTCTTTAAATAAACCCTAAGGGGCCTCCCCGGTGGCGCAGTGGTTGAGCACTGGGCTGCGAAGCTGCCCGCAACCTCTGTAGCACCGGTACGATCCCCAGCTGCCGGACGAGGGTCCTACATGGCACGCAGACCTCTCCTGCCGCCCGCTGCTCCCCTCAGCTGTGTATTTCGTCAGTCTGTCTGTTCTATTCCCCTCTCTGGCTCTGGTGAATTCTCTCACCCTCCCGTGCTTCTGACTGTACCCAGTGCTTGTATAAATAAGTAAATAAATCTTTAAAAAAATTAAAAAAAAAAATGGCATATTATCTTTAATAAATAAATAAATAAATAAATAAACCCTAGGGATATGAAAGCATTCAGAGTCTTACTGGAAACCATTCAGCAACTGACACAAGACCAAACTTTGCAATATCACCTTTTCTTCCTATTCTATGAGAATTGATCACAAAAGGATTTCTCTGCGTATATGTGGTTAAATTATTAAAACTGGCATGCAATGACCAGTGCGTTCTTGGTGTCATCTCTATTCTCCAAAATTACTTTTTTGTAAAATTGAGCAAAATGGCTTTTAGTATTTTGTGTTGGGGAGGGTGAGGAAGTAAAGTGATATTTATTAAAACGAGGTCGGGCTTCTCTTAAAAAAAAAAAAGCCTAAATAATAAAAAAGTATCTTAAATGATCTAATCTATTTATGGGTGTCGAAATACTTCACTTATCTTTTGATAAATTCAAGTATCTGAAAAACTGATTTCTAGAAATAAACGAAGCATTGGTCATAGATTCTAACACGGGATGGATATCCATTGAAGATCACTGAGACAGAAGTAGAGACTGACAAAATTAATGATATTAGAAAGCAAAACAATTGCTACTAGAGGTTTCATTTTCTAAAATACATAAATATGTGGCAGGGGCTCAAGGAGCTAGGGCAGTGATGAAAATTATGATTTAAAAAAAAAATCAGGTTATCTGGATATAGGCACTACAATTCAACCTACTGGTTAATTAGATACCTAAATCCAAAACATAATTTTTGCTTTCCAAAAGAGACAAGACAGTTTGTCTAAGTCTTCCTTCAAAAATAAGGGTGAGTAATTTCTATTTTCATAAGGTGACGCAGACACTTTTTCTTACCTTCTAGTAAGTACACAAGAGCAAATAAGAACTATATTTAAGTGCTATATATACACATATAACTAAACACACACACACAGTAGAGAGAGAAGACAACACATTGGTTAGGGACACTGGAAACCAATACAATGGCACAAATGGTAAGTGCCCCGAATTTTCTGTTTGCCTCATATATTTAGACTTGCTAATGCATAAATCAGCAACCTGGAAACGCAGTAGTCACATGCAACAAAAAACTGAATCCTCTAACCAAAGAAATCTATGAAAGAAAGGGGCCGAGTAGCAAGACAGAACATCTTAGCCATTAATCATACTACTCCAAAGACCACAGAAAAACATGATGGCCTCATTGCCACCCATGGCAGCAAAGGCAGGTGAGTAGAAACTGCTACCCTAACTAGGTTGTGATGAGGTACCCCAACCTCCCTGTATACTCAGTGGAAGGTGTCCAGGAAAGCCAAGGAGGGAGGCAGGGCTTTCATCCCCAGCTGACAGTAACAAAGCTTTTCCTTGATAGCTCAGTGGCGGTAGAGGTGGAGCGGGGGAGTGAATTCTAGAATTCAAACTCCATCAGGCAGTTATAAGGAGCCCCTCTCCTGGGAAAGTCAGAGGAGGCTGAATGGAGAAGCCAGGACTTCCACTACTACACAGCAGGAACAAGAGCAAACCTTTCACTCTCTACCCCCACGAAGTGTTTGTACCGCAAGGATATGTCAGTGGAGATCTAGTGGAGATATAAACTCATACCTCGGACCAGGAGTAACAGGGAGCCCACAACCTTGTGTGTCAAAAGAGGCCAATTGGGTTTCTACCCCCACTGCATAATAATGAGGCAGCATCTCCATGTTCCCCTTCTAGTGTGTACCAAAGAAAACCAGCTAAAATATAATAGAAAGTTTAAATAAGATGCAGAGGCTCTAACACAATACACTAAATGTACAGTTTTTAATAAAAAATTACTTATCATACCAAGAGCCAGGAAGATCTCAAACTTAATAATAAAAAAAAAAAAAACAATTTTATCATGTTTGGTGGCACAGCAGGGACCAGATACTTTTCTCACCAAGAGGGTTGAGTAGTTGGGCAGCATCTTAGCTATCACAGCTGAATTACTGAAGAGTCAGAAAAAGTCAGAATCTGCTCTAGAAGTCTTGCTCAAATTGCTCCCTCCATTAAGTTTATCCACAATATCTCATTCATCTTCCCTCCCCTCATCCCTTACGTCTGGAACCTTTGGGGGTGAATCAAAGTGAGGTTAGGAAGTGGAGGTCTGTGTGTGTGAAAAATGTGAAATGTGAAAATGACATTTGCTTCAGGGATGTCTTGACTCTACTGGCAAGGACAATAAAAGCAAAAATGAACAAATGGACTACATCAAGCTGAAGAGCTTGTGCACAGCGAAGGAAACTATCATCAAAACAAAAAGATACTCTACTGAATGGGAAAAAATATTTGCACATTGTACATCTGATAAGGAGCTATTATCCAAGAATTACAAAGAACTCATACAAGTCAATAAAATACCCCATCAAAAAATGGGGAGAGGAGCCAGACACATCTCCAAAGAATACACACAGGTGGCCAACAGACATCTGAAAAATGTTTAACATCACTTATCATCAGGGAAGTGTGTATCAAGACCATAATGAGGTACTATCTTACTCATGAGAA